TAAGATTTGATTTATTCATTTGAGAGAGAGAAGAGAGCACAAGCAAGGAGAGGAGGAGGGGAGGAGGGAGAGAGGGAGAGAAAGAAGGAAAGGAAGAGGGAGGACGAGAGGCAAAGCAGACTTTCCACTGAGCAGGGAGGCTGATCCCAGGATTCTAGGATCATGACCTGAGCCAAAGGCAGACACTTAACCAACTGAGCCACCCAGATGCCCCTATGGATCTGCTGGGAGATGTCACACTTTATAGTGTCATTGTGAATACAGAGACACCTCACTTAACGTGTTGTACACCTGTAGTGGGAGCTTCTGGTGGCAGAGCAGTTTGTTACTGATCTTGGTCATCTAGGATCAGTGACACAGCACCACTCCATACCTGTGCAGTGATAAAATGTCATATAGCAGGAATACAGAGCAAGTACTCAAAAGTGAATTTTTGTTAATGTTCATAGACAAATGATATAATTTGTGACAATGAACATGTACTTGCTGGTAGAAAAAAATTTAGCTAGACCTTTCAAGGATGATTTCTCAGCTCCAAGCCTGCAAGTTCTGCTGAAGATGCATAGGGAAGATGTGATGACCTGGTGGGAAGAGAAGAGACACTCTGTGAAGGACCCACCGCATCGCCAGAACTCCTGGTTGGTTCTCTTTAGCCTGCTTATACCTTTTTGGGTCAAGTAAACCACATTTCACAGAGATCATTGGAACTGAGATTATGTCCCACATGACTGTATCATGTATGAAAATGAAATACATCTTCATTGAAGAGTCAAAAAAATGAGGGCAAAATAAAACATTTTAAGATTAATGAAAGAGAAAATCTGAGAATTTGCCATCAGCACACCCTCACTACAGGAAATCTCAAATGAAGCACCATCAGTACACCTTCACATGGAAATCCCAGGTGAGCCAGATGAAAGTATGAAAAACAAGAAAGAATATGATGACTTTATAAAATAAAAATAATTGTGATTTGTGGATGTGAGACATATTTGAAATAAATAATAGTGATAATATACAAGTTAGGGCAGTAAATGGAATTAAAAGGTTTTAAAGGTCTTATATTATTGGGGATGAGGGTTATACATCCTGAAGAGCTCAAGACCTCATTAGTTAGGAATGAATATTTGAATTTCTGGGGTAACCACTGAAAGACTAGAAGCATGGTATATAACCTACAAGCTAGTAGAGAGGAGGAGAAAATAGAATGGGAAAAATGTATAATCAATCCAAAATAAAGAAGAAAATAGAACATGCAGATCAAAGAGAAGACACAAAATAAGAATGTAGATTTATTTTTTTTTAATTTTTATTTATTTATTTATGATAGTCACACACACACACAGAGAGAGAGAGAGAGAGAGAGAGAGGCAGAGACACAGGCAGAGGGAGAAGCAGGCTCCATGCACCGGGAGCCCGACGTGGGACTCGATCCCGGGTCTCCAGGATCGCGCCCTGGGCCAAAGGCAGGCGCCAAACCGCTGCGCCACCCAGGGATCCCAAGAATGTAAATTTATTTATTTATTTATTTATTTATTTATTTATTTATTTAAGATTTATTTATTTATTTATGATAGACAGAGAGAGAGAGAGAGAGAGAGAGAGAGAGAGAGAGAGAGGCAGAGACACAGGAGGAGGGAGAAGCAGGCTCCATGCCAGGAGCCCGACGCGGGACTCGATCCCGGGACTACAGGATCGTGCCCTGGGCCAAAGGCAGGCGCCAAACCACTGAGCCACCCAGGGATCCCCAAGAATGTAGATTTAAACTCAAATAATTTAGTATGTAAATAAAATGTAAATGGCTAAATGATGATTTAACAATTGCAGATATAAAAATATCTAGTTCTATTTTTACAAGAGATATATCTAAAAATAAGGATATAATCTATATCCTTAATAGATCTAATAATCTATTAGAAAGTAAAAGATTGCAAGAAGAAATATCAAGTGTTTCGGTAAGGGTTCAGTTGGGAGAACAGAAGCCTCTAGACACTTTTAAGTAAGGAGCTTTATTTAATACAGGGAATTAGAGGCTTACATGATCTTTGAAATCGCTGGGTGATAAAGACCAAGGAGCAAAGGTCAGCAAGCTGCTTTCACAGAAAATCCGCTTTCAGGAAAGCAACCGGATGATTTTCAAGAAGATTAATGGCTGCTTCTTCTCATCCAGACTCCAACTCCTGTGTAGTTGCCCCTGATTGGCTGAATTCAATCCAGAATCATGGAAGAAAAAAGAGGGAACTGTAGTTCTAAGCTCCCCATTGGATACAGAGATAATGCTGAAGGAAACCATGAGGATGCCTTGCTGGTATCAAGCAATCCAGCCCCAAAGGAAACGGAGGTAGCTACATTACTACCAGACCAAAACAGACTCTAAGGTCAAAAGTGTTAACTAGAGATAAAAGAATCACTTCATAGTACAGAAAATAAAGATTCAATTCACCAGGAAAGTCTAATGTTTGAATTTGTACTTGCCTAATGATAATAAAGCCTCAAAATATATAAAGCAAAAATGGATGGAACTACAAAGAGAAACAGATACATCCACAATCATAATGGATAGATTTTTAAATGCCTCTCCCAGAAATAAACAAGTAATTCAACAAGGATATGCAAGATTTGAAACTATGAACAGGCTCGACTTAACAGACATACACAGGGCAATGTGCCCAATAATTCTATTCTTCTCTAGCACAGACAGAATGTTTTCAAATATTGAGCATATCCTGAGCCATACAGCAAACCACAACAAAGTTCTAAAAGCCAGAATTGTACACAGCATATTTTATGACTTCAATAAAATTAAGCTAAAAGTCAACAACAAAGAAGGAATTAAGGTTACCACCTTCTTTTAAAAATTAGGAATCATATTTCTAATGGACTCATAGATCATAGAAAATTAAATATTTAACGCAAAGTGACAATTGAAATGCTGCCTTTCATATTGTGTAGGATAAACTAAGGCAGTATTTAGAGGAACATTTATAGCTTTATTTTTTTTTTAAATATTTTTTTTAATTTTTATTTATTTATTATAGTCACAGAGAGAGAGAGGGAGAGAGAGGGGCAGAGACACAGGCAGAGGGAGAAGCAGGCTCCATGCAGGGAGCCCCACGTGGGATTCGATCCCGGGTCCCCAGTATCGCGCCCTGGGCCAAAGGCAGGCGCCAAACCGCTGCGCCACCCAGGGATCCCCACATTTATAGCTTTAAATGCAAATTTTCAAAAAGCAGAAAGACTGTATCCCCCACACCCTTCTATGGCAAAGACCTGATGATTAAATTACTAAACATATGGAAAAGTAGAAGGTTATGGCCTATAATCAAGAGGAAAATCAGTCAAAAGGAACAATAAATTGGGGTGCCTGGTTAGCTCAGTTAGTTAGGTGTCTGACTTCGGCTCAGGTCATGATCTCAGAGTCCTGGGATCGAGTCCTATGTCTTACTCCCTGTTTAGTGGGGAGTCTGCTTCTCCCTCTCCCTCTGCCCCTCTGCCTGCTTATGCTTGCTCACATGCTCTCTCTCGCTCTCTCTCAAATAAATAAATAAAATCTTTTTAAAAAAGAACAATAAGTATAAACACTCTAATTTACACAATGAGTTTATAAATAGATTCAGTGAGGAAGGACGCATGAACAAAACCTCAGAGGTGGTAGGAGGACAGAGAATGGAGCAACGAAGAAGGAAGAAAGGGGCTGATGAATATGGTGAGGAGGGAGCTAGAGTTTAGTGAAATGGCCTAGGGAGACTTCCTAGGAACAGGGAAGTTCCAGTATTTTCTTGTAAATTATCTGCTGAAGAGTGGTCGATCCTCCTCCTCACCCTTCCAAACTTCATCACACATCTCTTTGAAAGAGTGGACCCAAACCCCGGGCTAGGGGGTGAGAATCCAGAAGCACGGGGTATGTTCCAGAAGAGAGGAAAAGCAGCTGCATGAAGGTTGTGCAGAGGAGAATGCGCCTGGAGTGACAGTAAGGCCCTGTGACTTCATAGCCACTGTGGAGAAGCTCACAACACGCACTGGTATGGAATGGGGGTTCCAGCAGATTTTACCTAGACCTGAAGGGGCAACATGGCCACCTGACCCCACCTGACATATTTTTATTAACTTACAGTGAGGAACACAAAACTGTCTCCCAAGTCCTCAACTTCCATACCCTCTCCCTTGGATGAAGATCTTATCCAGGAAGCAAAGTGCTACTGGGCAGGCTGCTTGGAGAGTCTGGAGAAAAGAAGGATGTGCTAGATGACCAGAGGCATCGATGGGACAGGCCGAAATAGCCACAGTCATATCTGGGCCGTTTTACAAAAATAATGAATGAGATTCTGGGGGGATCAAGATCACTTGAAAGCTATTAAAGTGAGAGAGTGGGGATTTGAACCCAGGTGTGTCTGCCTCCAAGGCCTATACTCTGTCCCTTCCATCACAGGGGCCTTTCAGAGTGCTGCTCGCCCAGACGGTGTACATGGCTCACATCTGCTTTAAATCCTTGTCTAAGAAAAGAAAGACCCTGGCCCAGAACAGTATCTCAGCCTATCCAGACTCTGGGGTGCCCCGCCAGGCCCAGGGGCCTTCTCTGGCAAAGACCTGTGATTTATGTCCGCATTTTCCTATATGTTTTTGATATATCTCATGTCCTTTTTGTTCCACTACTCTCTTTTCACTGTCTTCTTTTGTATTAAATGGATATTTTCTAGCATAACATTTTAATTTTTTTATCAGTTTGTAACTATTTTTCAGAGCAATTTTCTTAATGATTGCTCCAAGAACTACAATGGACATTGAAATCCACAATCTACCTCCAGATTAATGCTAACTTAATTCTGGTAGAAGAGGAAAACTTTGCTCCACTGGAACTGTATCCCCCACACCATTCTTTGGCAAAGACTTATGAAACATGTGTCCCGGGGAGACTTCTGGCAAATGTGATAAACTATTTGTGGTTTAATTTCAAGCACATCACTCAAAGTCATACAAAGTCATGAAGCCAAGTGCAAAGGTCATGATAAAGATCAGTTTTACTGATTTCTATGCCTAAAACTCTATATTCCCTCCCATACTCTGTGTAAGAATAAAAACATGACTCTGTATGCAGGCCCAGGGGAAATGAGTAGGAGCTTCAGCAAGCTCCTCAAAGCAGTTGTGCAAGCTGGAATATATTTGATGTTGAGTAGCCCCTTGAACGGTTCCCTGATGCAGAGTTCATGGGTCACTAAGTAATGGGATGAGCTTCTTCAGCTGAGATCATATTTAGTAAGTCTTCAATGGTGCTTTGTTCGTTGACACTGAGATGCTGTTCTTTGGCTAGACTGAAGGCTCTCATGGCATATTCTTGTGCCTGGAATAGAATTGCAGTTACAAAAGGAAGTTGTCATAGGAAAGCTTTATGTTGGGAAGCCCCATCTGTGCTCAACCCAGAAACACAGGAAAGGACCCCTCCGCTTCTCACACCTGCCACGGAGCCCTTGTTGGAAATTTGTGAACACCCACCGGGTCCTTACAGCTAGCCACACATGTGCTGGGTGGGGCGTGGGGGACCAGAGAAACCCACCTGGCTTGACAAACTAAGCACAAAGTAAGTACAGCTGTCTAGCAGAGTGAGCTCTCTATAGGGTCTTAATCAGGACCCTCTGAACCAACTGTGCAAGATGCAGAGGTGACAGGTGCCATCCTGGGGGCCATGTAATCCAGAGTTTTGACTTGGACCGAGGCCTCCCGGAACATCCTGGGACACCCTCTGGGCTACCTCTTCTATCCCTCTCACCTCCTCCCTTCCTTCCAATAAATATTTATTGCATGGCTACGATGTTCCAAGTACTATGATCACAGGTCGAAATGCCTGCCCTCTTGGAATTTACAATCTCCCTCCCAGGGCAGGGAGAGAGGCAATAAACAAGACAAATAAGCAAAACATCATCCATCTTCAATAGTGATACATGCTAAGGAAAAAAAAAAAAGTAGGAAAAGGGGGCTGGGAAGCACCAGGAGGAGGGTTTTGCAGCTTTAGATGTGGGGCCAGGGAAATCATCACTGAAAATAAGACAGTTGAGTAAAGACCTAAAGGAAGGGAGGTGTCAGGGGCCGCCTGGGTGGCTCAGTGGTTGAGTGTTTGCCTTTGGCTCAGGGTGTGATCTAGGGGTCCTGGGATGGAGTCCCATATCAGGTTCCCCACAGGGAGCCTGCTTCTCCCTCTGCCTGTGTCTCTGCCTCTCTCTCTCTGTGTCTCTTGTGAACAAGTAGATAAAAAATCATTAAAAAAAAAAAAGGAAGGGAGGGAGGTGTCAATCTTGAGTATATAGATATGTCCCTATGCCCTAAGGACCTCCTATAGATCTAACACCCTTCACCCTGCCTTGGGGTCAGGACTTTGACTGTGGAGTACACAGTCAAAATTGACCCCTGAACTGTAGGAAAGAGGTTTTGTCCAGTGTAAGCTTGGAAATTCAATGGAAATGTTCCCCTGTTCTCTCAGCACTCTTACCTAACCGCAGAGAGTGCCCTGGTCTTCACTATCACATGATTATAACCCACTCACGGAGCTCTACTAGGTCCTGGTATACAGTAGGTGCTTAGTAAAGTTCGCTGAAGATAGGTAGGGAGGAAGGGGCTGGGGAAGGGGATCCTATATTTTCCATGACCCCCACACAGAAAGGCCTCCTCCAGCCAACCCTCCCTCCCCATCTCTCTCCTTGCCTGCTTTTCTTTTTCCTTGCAGCGCTCTTCACTATCTGACATTACATTATGCATTAAGTGTTTCCTTGTTTATTGTGACTTCTCCTCCTCCAAAAGAAATTGGGCAAACAATGGACCCTCTCTGCTCCTCAGTTTCCTTATCTGTAAAGTGGGTATAATACAGTATCTACTTCATGAGTTTGGCCCAAGAATTAAATAGGATAGTTCATGAGAAGTACTTAGGCTAGTGATGGGCATGTCCCTAGGGAGGAAGACAATGCAGTTTCCATTATGCATGTTGGACCCACCAAATGAGAAACATCGGGAGCATCCAGACTGCTTTGAATGAAGTGAGGGCTTACTCAGAGGGCAAAATCCAGTGCAACTGGGCGAACCCCGCCAAATTCACCTAGAGGAATTTCTACCTCCCTTTCAGACACGGGGCTTTCTGGGGAAACTTGCCTTTGAAGAATTCATCATCAGGTAGTAAAGCATGACCAGGATTTTCAGAACAAAGATTGTTTTTTGGGGGTCTGTGTTGGATGTAGATTCTCGAATATTCCAGATTGAGGTCAGGATCTGAATGGCTTCTGCTTCCTGGGCTTCATCTGCAATGGAAAGGAAGGAAGCTGGAATGAAGAAGCCGGCCTGGAGAGCTGCTGAGTCTACCCTCAAGGGTGAGCAGGGAGCAGTCAGGGCACCGGCCTCCTGCACGAAGCACAGCAGGTTCCTCACCTGGTGGCCACGTGCAAGTAGGAAGCCAGGTGGTAGGTAACAGGCAGCTCCATCAAACCTGCTCCTCCCCACAGGTTGCTCAAGGTAGCTACGGTTTCTGGTGTCTCTCTTTCGGAGTCCTGAGCTCCTGATTTCTTAGGCCCCAAATGCAGGAAGCTGTCACAGTGGGATTCCTTGGGGTCCCCCTCAGCTTCGGCTGGAGAGCAAGAGTGGGGAGCCAGGACTTCTGGCAGCCAGCAGCTTGATCCTCCCCCAAATCCAAGGGTGCTTGAGCAATGGCCTCTCTGCTCCCCCAGTGTGAGTCTGTTTATTCTTCCTCCCAGCAACTTTGGGTCCTACTTTGGACCATTTTGAGTTATTTGGGGCCAGATGCTTATAAGTACATTCACGTACTACGCTTAGAGAAGAAGGCAGAAAGGACATACACCATAACGCTAAGGTTGGCTGCCTTTGGATTTCTATGATTTCCAAATTTCTTCCTTTAACCTGAACCACTTTTATAGTGAGAGAAAACTCAATAAAGTTAAATTTTTAAAAAAATTTTAGCTCCAAACCTCTCCTCCAAGAAGTCTTCCCTCTTCAACACTGTCCAACTTCCCTATGCTCTTCCTTCTGGGGCCCACCCTGTAATACAATGTGTACTTGCAAGAACTTCCTTTTATTTCATATAGCTTCTATCTCATCAACCACACTGTATGTGCCTTTTGAACTAGAGGAACTAGATCCTCTGTCCCTTTTTATTATCTCAGAGGGAATGATGCTGTGCAGCCCCACTCAGCACTCACACTTTGCTGAGCCTGGGAACAGAGACATGAATGAGAATGAGCTCCGCCGCTGAGAACCTCACTGTCCAGTAAAGGAGGAGGAGAAAGCACCAGAACAAATGAGCAATGTGGTTTCTTCAGAGAGAACCCTGGCTTATGTGCCCTGGAGAGATAACACACATGACATGGCTCGGTGGAAATCACAGAGGGCTCTGGAAGGTCTTTCTCTCTCCATATCTGTCCCTTATGAGCCCCCAGAGAGGCTATGTGTGGTGCCAGGGCTCTGAATCTTTTGGATTCCCCCATCTCAGGGTCCTCATCAGTAAAATACAGAAGATGGCACTGATGTGCTCCATGACAGGGACAGTGGCTCTCCATCATGGGGACAAGGCCTGTGAATTAAGAGGGGTGAAGCCATGGCTCTACTTCCCAGGGAGAGTGCCACTCACCCAAGCCAGTGTCGGTCTCAAATCGTTTGCCCAGTAAGTCTATCTGCTGGATGCGATTCTGTGAGAGCACTTGGTAGCGATTGTTCAGGTATTTACTCCAGATCTCAGCAATCTGTTGGGAAAGCAGATGCAATCAGAGCAGCAAGCCAGACCCAAGCCTAGTCCATTTTGCTAGTAAAGAAACAGGAAGAAAGGAATAGTGGAATATATCATGTATCAGACCACGTGATCTTGGGCAAGTCATTTCATCTCTCTGTGCCTCATATTTCTCTTGAATGGCCTGACACCAGTTGTAACTTGGAAGGCCAAAGTACCAAGGCTCAACTCCCACATTCCCCAGCTCACCTTGGTGTACAACGTGTCTGCTAGGTCCAACTTTTTAAGGCCATAGAAGATATTAGCCAGGTGGAAATAGCCCCCCGAGGTCCTGATGTCCTCTGTTCCAAATGCACAACTGGCAAAATAAATCTATAGCAAGAGGAAGAAGAGGTGCTTTAGAAGCTTTAGAAGAGGTGCTTTTTACGATTTCTCCTCGTAAATCACATATCTGATAAAGAACTTGTGTACATAGAAATTGTAATGAACTTTCACGGCAGCATATTTAAAATTTAAAAATGGGCAGAAGATCTGAATAGACATGTCTCCAAAAAGATATGCCAATGGCTAATAACACATGAAGTGATGCTTGGCATTATTAGTCACTAAAGAAATGCAAGATAAGATCACAATGAGATACTACTTCACACACACTACAGTGGCTCTAATCAAAGAGGCAGAAAACAAGTGTTGGCGAGGAGGTGGGGAAAATGGAACCCTCGCATGTTGTTGGTGGGAATAGAAAATGATGCAGCTTCTGTGAAAAGCAGATTGGCAGTTCTCAAAGACTTAAATGGTGAGTTACTATATGACCCAGCAGTTCCATTCTTAGGCGTATACCCAAGAGAAATGAAGGCATGTGTCCACTCAGACTTGTACACAAATGTTCAGGGCAGCATTATTCATAACAGCCAAACAGCGAAGACAACCCCAGTGTTCATCAAGTGATAAATGGCTAAATAAATTGTGTATATCCAGATGATGAATACTACTCAGCAATAAAAGGAATGAAGTATTGATAGGACAACACGGATGAAACTCAAAGTAATTATGCTAAGTGAGAGAAGTCAGATGAAAAGACCACATATCATTCTGTTTATATTGAAAGTCCAGAAAAGGCCAATCTACAGAGACAGAACGTGGCTGCCTGGGGTTGGGGGTCAGAATGAGAAATGAATTGTAAATGGATGTGAGGGATTTCTGGGGTGATGGGAATGTTCTAAAACGGGATTGTGCTGATGTCTGCACAACTCTGTAAGTTTACTAAAAATCATGGAGTTGTACTCTTAAAGTGGTAAGTTTTATGATATGTATCTATAAAGCTACGGTTGTTTTGTTTTTGGTTTTCTTTTTTTGAAAGGTAGGCTAAAGAATCTGAGGTTGATCTACTTCTTAACTGTGTGGCCCAGCCCAAAAGATAGAATCTGTAACTCTGCTTAATTTGTTGTGAGAGCATAGAGAGAAAACACAAATAAGGAAGTGTATTAGTCTCTTAGGTGGAAATAGATGGCACCCTCAAAGTGTTTCCTGAAGATAGTTTAATGAAAAGACTGTTTAAAGAGACATACAGAGGTTAAGGAACCAACAAGAGCTAGTGAAGCACCAGCGAGTGTCAACAGCAAGAAATTATTACTCTCCTGACTCCTGAAAAAGAAAGAGAGAAAGCAAGTCACCAGGGCCCTATAAGAGTTAGAGCTATGGGAGAAGGCCATCTGCCAGTAGCTGGGGCCATGGAGGAACAATACCCCTGCCAGAACCGGGATGGAGCAGAAAGGCAGCAGAGAAAATAGATACCCAACCTCTTTCCCCTCCTAACATCCACTCCCCTGCTATGCCTCTCACTCTCTAAATCCAACAGAAACCAGGAAGCAATGGATTCTGGGTAGAGGTCAGCCTCCCAGGCCATAGTAGAGCAGAGAATGGATTTGGGGGAGGGGGATATGGAGACTAACCAGCACAAGAATGTTTCCAGTGGATTTATGGACATTGTGCAGTGGAGACAACCGGAGGGAAGGTTGCCCAGTGGAGGGGCTGAAGAGAGAACCAACTCGTGTTGAGACAGCATCCTGACCCTAACCTCAACTAGATTTCAGGTTCAGGAACCTTCTCTCTGGTAATATTATCCACTACTGAAATCCTTATAGAAACCTCATTAAATTAAGAACAGCTCCATCATCACCCTCATCATCATATTATCTAACAGTTTTACAGTTTGATAGTTTATAAAGAACGTTCATATATGAACAGCTCATTTAAAATTAATAACCACACTCTGAAGTAGAAACATTGATGTTATATGTAAAAATGATAGCAAAATGCTGCATATACAGTGTCCTATGATTAACCTCAATGACCCAATGAGGCATGAGCTATTTGATGATTTGTCTGATACTTGATGAAAGAAGTGAAATAGTTTGTCCAACACTATGTCTAAGAGTAGAAGAAAAGCCCTTCTCTTAACCAGTGTGCTGTTCTGCCTTTATTATCCTCAGAGCAATCGGGCTTGGAGAAGTGATATGACCTGGCCAAGGATCCAGAGCCAAGGAATGGAAAGGCTCGAACTCAGGTCATTAGAACTGTGTTCTTGCTAATACCTCACCAGTCAGTTGTCAACAGAAAGTTCTAGAGAAATGCTCAGTTAATAAAGAACAAACAAAACAATAAGTATAGCGGTTCCCAGAAACATTCAGGTGTTAAAATTTAGCTTGTTTACATCATTGGCCAGATGATAACGGGCTTCCTCATAGTTCTCCTTAGCTATAGAGAGAAGTCCCAGGTTCCGATGCAGTAAAGATTGGGTGGCACAACAACATTCAGTTGATTTGAGGACTGTCCACTGGGCTTGGGATAGATATTCCTCAGCTTGAACAATCTGGCCCAGACCTGCCCAAAAGAAGTGAAGAAGGTTATAATTCATATCCTGGCTAGAGGACACATGATGCACTGTGAGTCAGCACCCATTCACTCATTGATTCAGTGACCTCATCATTTATTGACACACAAGAACTGGCACATGAACATTCATAGCAGCCGAGCCACAATAGCCAAAAAATAGAAACAACTTAAATGCTCATCCACTGATGAATCGATATACAAAATGTGGTCTATCCATAACCATGAGTAGAATATTATTCAATATTTCAAGAAGGGAAAGAAGTATTGACACATGCTACAACACAGACAAGCCTTGAAGATGTTACACTAAGTGAAAGAAGCCAGACATAGAAGGTCACATATTGTCTGATTCCATTGATATGAAATGTCCAGAATAGGCAAATCCATAAGGCAGAAAATGGTGGCCAGGGACTGGAGGGAGGGAGAATGGAGTATGACTACTATATGGGCATGGGGGTCCATTTGGGGTGACTAAAATGTTCTGTAATTAGATGTAGTGAAGGTTGTACAATCTTGCAAATATACTAAAACCACTGAATCGTACCTTAAAAGAGTGAATTTTACGTACGTGAAACGTATCTCAGTTTATATATATTATGTGCATAAAAGATATTAAATATATATTATTAAATATTTAATTTAATATCTTTTATGTACCAGGCCTTGTGTTGAGTGATGAGGATTCCAAGATGAATCCAAGCCATTGCCCTTGAAAGATTTACAGCTGCGGTCAGGGAATGCATGTGTGTCATGAAAACAAATATATTTATAACATAAGTGCAACAACAGTTACATCATAAGGTTTGTAAGTGGTAGAGAATAGGAGGTGTTTAATTCTATAGATGGGGTGTAGAGGCCAATGGTATGGGGAATGGCATGGTCAGTACTATGGACTGAATGTTGAGTCACCCCAAAACACATAATTGAAGCCCTAATCCCCAAAGCGATGGTATTTGGAGGTGGGGCTTTTGGGAGGTAATTTGGTCCTAAGAGTAGAGCCCTGTGAATGGAATTAGTGCCATAAAAGAAGAGATACAAGAAAGGTGATCCCTCTCTCTGTCGTATGAGGATAATAAGTGAGAAAGTAGCTGTCTATAATCCTGAAAGTGGGACCTCACCAGACACCGAATCTGCAGACATCTTGATCTTAGGCTTTCAGCCTCCAGAACGGTGAGAAATAACTTTTTGTTTAAGCCACCCGGTCTGTGGTATTTATTATAGCAGCTGAGCTAAGACAGGAAAATCTGAGCTGAATTTTGAGGATAGATAGAAGTTTTCCTGACAAGTAACGGAGGGCGGACATCTGGAGCAGAGGTAATACATATGCAGAACCATCGGGATGTGAAACAGTGGGCTGTGAGTGGAGAACTGTCTGTGCGTCTGTGATGCTGGAGCACAAAGTGTGAGGAGGAATCAAGTTGCAGGAAACGAGGCTAAAGACGTAGTCAGGGGACAGGTCATGGAGGGCTTAGTCAGTTGCTCCAAGGAGGTGGATGCACGTGGATAAAAATTAGAGGATTTTCAGAAATGGAGAAAGAGAGAATTGGATTTAGATTTAGAAGGACCCCCAGGAGCCGGGGTGGAGGAGGAAGGACCAGAGGGGAGGAAGAAAAGTGGAAGACTCACTAGAGGGGGATCCCTGGGTGGCGCAGCAGTTTGGCGCCTGCCTTTGGCCCAGGGCGCGATCCTGGAGACCCGGGTTCGAATCCCACGTCAGGCTCCCGGTGCATGGAGCCTGCTTGTCCCTCTGCCTGTGTCTCTGCCTCTCTCTCTCTCTCTCTCTGTATGACTATCGTAAATAAAAAAAAAAAGACTCACTAGAGGACTTTTGAAATAGTTCAGGCAAAGACTGATGAGAGCCTGAACTAAGGCAGTGAGCGAAGATGGAGCTGATATATAAGAGACATTTAGGAGCTAGAATGGACCCCACATGGTTACTAAGTAAAAGGCACCTTTATTTCTACTATTCAGAGACTGCTGACACCTAAAACTTTTTGTTTGGTTGTAAAGATGCATCACAGTTTCCTGCCTCCCTGCTTGCCTCCTAGGGAGGCTGTCAGAACCGGATAGAAAACTACCCTGCCAGCCTTCTGCAGAGCTGGAGGTGTGCTCTGGGTGCGGGGTATTTCCTGTGATGGATGCTGCAGCAGAAATGGCACCAGGAAAGGTCAGGAGATGAGGACAGAAACCCCTCATAAGTCAATCTTCTACTCTGCTTGCCCCTCCTCCCAGGTCTGGTTCACAGGCAGGCATCACCCAGTCTAGCCATAATCACAGGTCACTGAATTGAAGGGGGAGAGCTGAAGAAGAAGCAGTCTGAGGGAGGAAGCAAGTAACTTTGCTTGACTGAAGTTCAAACTAAAATGGGAAGATACTAGATTAGAAGCAGAAGGCCGAGGCCCAGGTTCCTGGCTCATGCGAACATTGCAAACCACAACTTCCATCTGGATTTTTCTTTAAAATAAGAGCTGTAGACTGAGGTCTTCTCAGATTTAAAGAATCAAAGGACTCTTAGCAAAGATTATCTAGATGGGGAAGAGATTGGTAGAGGGTACCGCCAGACACTGGAAACTTTTCATCGTGCAGTTTCCCTTTGAGGAGACTATGCCAGGGGAGGAAGGCCCCAAGGCCAAGCTGAACCGGCAACTAAACTAGCATCCCAGAGGAAAAGGCATACTTGGGAGAAAAAACCTTGAGGCCCCAAAATCCAGACAACAGGTAGAGTGAGATAGGAGGAATGTACTGCTCCAAGCAGGTCTAAACTAAGACTGTGGCCCTTGGGGGGTAAGTCTAGGCATGCCTCTTCTACACAGTGCTTACCTGGGCAGGTGTAGGGATGGAGCGGAGGTTTCAGACACACAAAGATGCCAGAGGAAGTGAGACTCTCTTACAAGGCCATGTCACTAGCGTACAGAAGAGAAAAAGAAAGGATGGCCAGTTAAAGAGTGATGGCACCTGTCTGCAGGGTGAGACAACGGGCTCACCCTGGGCTAGCAGCTGATCTGAGAGATGTTGTGGGGGAAGATTTTGCAAGGCTTGATGACGAAAGTAGAGGAGATGAGAATAAGGCAGTCACAGATAATCATCTTCGAGGCTGGGAGGCATCCAGGGGAAGGAAAGGGAATTCGCATTCACTGAGGGCCTGCTATTTGCTGTCCGTATGCTATGCTCCACCATTTGCACCTGTGATCTAAGTTGGCCACCAACTCCGTGAAATAAATAGCAGAGGAGGAATGTCCCGAGAAGGAAATTTCATTCATTCATTCAACCATACATTCACTTAATCTAGAGTCTCTACCCCTTTGCTAGATGCTCAGCGCATACTAGTGAATAAAACAGACATGATCTCTGCCCTCAAGAGCTTATAATCAAGGGAGCTAGATACACGATAAACAAACAAAAATAAAGTGCCATGAAGGAAATGAACAGAACACAATCATCAGAAAAAGGGGGGAAGAAACATACCTTGATTGGATGCGAACACCTCTCTGAGAAGATGATATTTAGGCAAATACCCTGATACCTAGGATCACTCAACCAGTAAAGAAAGAGTTGGAGGGGTCCCTGGGTGGCTCAGTTGGTTTAAGCATCCAACTCTTGATTTCAGCTCAGGTGGTGATCTCAGGGTCATGAAATAGAGCCCTGTGATGGGCTCTGCACTCAGCAGGGAGTCAGGATTCACTCTCTCTGCCCCTCCCCCCACTTGCATGTGCACTCTCTCTAAAGTAAGTAAATAAATCTTTAAAAAAAAAAAAATTGGAATTTGAACCCAAGCTCTCCTGGTTCCAAAGTGCTAACCAGAGTGAGTGAAGATGAGTAAGGTGGCTCGTTGAAGATATTGTCTGACTGACAATATCATCTCTTGTTGATTAAAATTCCAAAGTTTTACCAAAAAGAAAAGAAGAGACTAAATACCCGTTATTTTTTTCCACTCCAGTCTGGAGGAATCTCTAAGATGACAAAGAGACATGTGCACAAGGAATGTGATTTATTTAGACTTTCAAAAAGGTTGGCAAGGTTTTCAATGACCGGGGGAGGTATAATGAGAACTTCCATTTAGATGGAACCTTCCGGCTTGCAAAGCACTCTCATGTTCTTTACACACAAACTCATTTAATCCTCAAAACGATCCTGTGAAGGGGACTCAGATTCACCAAATGCTTTCACAGTGCCCACCAGATGTCAGGTTCTATGAGAGGAGTTTTTGAGCACCTCCTCCATGCTAAGTGCTGTTCTGGGTGTGAAGAGATTCTTGTGAGTAAGAATAGGGACAGGCCCAGTTCTCTCTGAGCCTGTAGTCAGAGAGGGGGAAAGAGGAATTTTAATTAAGTAATCTCATCAATGGATATATAATAATAACTATTATTATTTTGGTTTTAAAAAATACTTTAATATTAGAGAGAGATCACACGCAAGCTGAGGGGAGGGGCAGAGGGAGATGGAAGGGTGAAGAATCTCCAGCACACTTCCTGATGACCGCAGAGCCTACCTGGGGCCCAATCTCAAGACCCTGAGATGGTGACCTGAGCCGAAACTAAGAGTTGGATGCTTAACTCACTGAGCCACCCAGGCGCCCCTGTATGTATAATTATTACTGAAATAAGTGCCCAGAAAAGAGGATGAGGTTTTTAAGGGGGTATATAAAAAGAAACCTGGCCCAGTCTGGGGGCTTGGCAAGGCTTTTAGACAAGGAGGTGGTAACTCTTGAATAGGACTTAGGTGGAGGGGAGAACAAGGCAGGAGAGGTGGGTGGAAAGAGTGGCTGGAGAAGAACCTTCCAGTACAAGAAGGAAGGAGGCCAGTGTAACTAAAAGGGAGAGAGAGGATATCAGATGAGGTGGAAAAATTTATAAAGGCTGGCCCAAACTGTACCTCATAGGCTCTTGAGGAACCCGGTCTTTATTTAGTGGAGTGATTTGACCCTGAATCCCATTTTCAACTAAAAAAAAAAAAAAAAAAAAAAAACCAACCAACCAAACAAACAAAAAAACAAAGCTCCTTGGAGGGATGTTCCAGAAAGCAGGAAAGTGATCGAAGAACAATCGGGAATGTGTCAAGGAGACACAGAGTCCAGTCTGAATGGGCTGCCACTTGCCAGATCCCAAACAGTCTAAGCACCAAATTAATGATAATAAGATTATTAATCCATTGACTAGAACAGGGAACCAAGATTTCATACTGATATAAATAAATAAATTAATTTACTGAAAGTTTGATGGAATGGGATATTTATATAGTTTCAGAATACTAGTCCACAAAATACTTATTAATCGCAAAAAGGAGGAAGAGTATACAAAGGGAAGCCTGGTGATACCACCTTAATAGCGTGACTTAAATGGGTATCATCAGGCATGAAATAAACTGAAAACACGTGCCAACTTGTAGGATGAGGTGCAAACAACACAGCACCACTTGTGATACTCCCACCGAACATACATCACCTGAGTCCAGCCGAGAGGAAACATCAGAGAAACCCAGGTCGAAGGACATTTTGTAGAACACTTGACCTTCAATCTTCAAAGTGTCAGAGTCATACGGTCAAGGAAAGACTAAGAAACTATTCCAGAATGAAGGAGACTAAGAACACATGGCAACAAAAGTGAAAAGCGTGATTTTGGACTGTATCCTTCTGCTCTAAAGATGTAACTGGGATGACTAGAGAAACTCGAATGGGGTGTGCTTAGTAGATGAGAGCAGATGATGGTTGTAGTGGTGGATTTGAGGGATTTGGTCTTTGTGGGAAATGCATCAGGCACACAGCTTACTCTCATGTAGCTCAGGGGAAAAGACCTGGTTTGTACTGTATTTCCAACAGTTTTGCCTTTCAAAAGTCCACTTTTTAAAAAGAAAGTAGTGGCTATTAAGATGTATAAAGTGGGCTGTACAGTAACTAAAGCCCTGCGGATGCTCAAAAATGTTAATTCCCCTCCAAGATGCTAATTCTCTTCTGGGAGCAACCGCCACATGGGATGGAGCCAAGTCTGCGCTTCCCACTCTCACCCAAGAGATGAGATATGTAGTTCCTCTTCCCTCTCCCCTCCACAGGAGCAGGTTCCTACACTCCTCTTTGAACCAGGTGACCCTGACACAAAGGCTGGTAAAGGTGAATATCACCCTCAAGCTGAGTCAACCCAACTCTCTCTTCTAGGAATTTAACACTGGCAGTCGGATGCTGATTGCTTCTACTACCCTCCTTGAACCTGGAGGATGTGTAAATTCCACGTAAATTCAGGTACATCTGATATTTTGGGGTAGCTGTTTTCTGTAGCAGGCATGGGGCAGAAACACCTGGTCTGCAGAGATGGTGAATAAAGCAGCTGCCAAGAGAGAAGCAGAGACAAGACAAAGGCCCAAGAAAGAAAGAGAGCCCCGGCCTTAGTTTGTTACAACATTCTGATTCTAGTACCTCATGAAGACTCAGTTCCCCTGGGACACTCCAGGGTCCTAATAAACGCCCTCCTTTTGCTTGGGCCAGCTAGAGTGGATTTCTGTAGTAGCCCAAAGTTGATGACATCTGCTTCCCCACTTAGGCCAAACCTTATAGTGACATTGCTCTTTTACAAAAGGTATTTTGGTGCCACTGCCAGTATAACCAATATAGAGCTCCTTAAGGGGCCTGGGGGGGTGGCGGGTGGCGGGTCTCAAGTCATTTCACTTACCAAGGCTCGCCTCGGCCAAGAGCAGGTAAGCAGGTACAAGCTCTACTGAGCTCAGGCCGTGCACACTCATGCGAAAGCGAAGCGAGTGCAAAGCTGCTGGAACGGCAGCTTCGTGTTTTCCTTCAAAGAGGTATTTCTGGGCTACGGTGTAGCAGAATTCAATCAAATGCTTCTGCAGAAGAAAAAACTAGAGCATCTCAGACAGCTGAAAGGTAAAAGGCAATGGTGGCCACAGGTACACCTGGAGGAAAGCTAACATCCAATGAGCTGGTTGAGGGCACTTGGTTAACCTGCTTGTATAAGGTGGACGTGAGACCCAAAATGGGTGATGTAAAAAGGTAGACCTGGATTGTGAGTTCCTCGAGGTCCAGGGAGCAGTGTCTTTTCACCTGAGTTCATTGATTGGCAGAGATGAGTGCTCAGTGTTAATTAAACAAATATTACTCTTGTATTTACAGTAAAATTGTAGTTCAGCAAAATCATTATGTCTCAGGATATTCCAAAACTTTCCCCCTGTTATTTGAGTTAATTTTGAGAGAAATAGCTTATCTTTCATTCTGGAGTTAGCCTGCTTAGCAAATATCAGAAATAACTGAAACTGCATTGTTCCAAAGCCATTCTCAAAGTGCCGCAATGCTAAAACTGATGAATCTGGTGTTTTGAGATTCATGGCTTATAAAGCCTTAGTTTTTTTGTTTTTTGTTTTAGAATAATTGAGATGCTGCCAATGCTATAAGAGAAGTTTTAAAAGTTCTTTTATGAATTCACCAGTCTATTCATACATCATTTTTTTTGACCACCTTGCTCTTGCCAACATACTTGGCATATATGGACGTTATGACTGAATTCTGTCCCCACCCCAGCTGCACCCTACCCAAACTCCTATGTTAAAGCCCTAACCCCTAGTACCTAAGAATGTGACTGCATATGGAGACGAGACCTTAACAGAGGTGATTAAGTTAAAATGAGGCCATTAGGGTGGCCCCTAACCCAACCGTACTGGTGTTCTTATAATAGGAAGAAATTTGGGGAACACCAAGGATGCCTGTGCACACAGGAAACCAAACCTGCTGATGTCTGGCGTTGATCATGGACGCCAGAATTGTGAGAATTGGTTCCAGAATTGTGAGAAAAAAACATTTCTGTTGTTTAAGCCACCCAGTGTGTGGTATTTTGTTATGGCAGCCCTTGGAACCTACTACAGTAGGTGTTCAGCAACTATGTGGAGAATGACAGACTGAGGACATAAAGTCATAAAGCAAAGCATAAAGTCACCTCTGTCCTCAAAGAGGTTCCAGTTTGGTGATGTGGCTGCAGTACACCCCGTGTCCTGGGCGGTCTCCCTGCGCCCATGAGCTAAGCCTGTACCAGGCCTACAGGACCCACCTGCCGCTGCTGGAGCTGCTGTAGGCCATGCTGCCGCTCCTCCTCCGAATTGTAGAAGGGCATGGAAGTGCGCAGCGGGATCAGCAGCTGACATATCTTCTCATGGATGCTGCTCCAGTCAGCTCTTTGATGAACCAAACTGCTGACAATAAAAACGTGGACTTCAGTATCTTTCCCTGCAGCCTGGCTTAAGATTCTAGTGGCCCCACTACTTGGCCGAGCCCTAAACACCAGAAAAGTAAGCCCAACACACCTCAGGCAGGGACCCCAAAGCCATTTCTGACACAAATTGCTTTTCTCTCATGTGCTTATTTGATAGTGTAGAAACTAGTTTGGGGTGAGAAGCTGTGGCTTCTTCGGGCACAGGTTCACACTCCAAAGTCGTGGTGACTGGTGACGCTGTGGCTGTTGTTCTGCTTTTCTGCTTTGTTAATAACCAACAAAGACAACTTTTAACTTGTCATTAATCTAAGGCCACTTTCGGAATATCTGATCAATGCTGATGGCTGTGAGGGTCTTTTTCTTGGGGAAGGGAAAGGAATTTACATTTGCTGAGGCTCTAGGAGCCACTTGGCTATGATGTCGCATGGCTCTGGGGGAGCGCCCTGCGCCACGGGCATTGTCTTCTGTGCTCCAGGGGCACAGTCACAGGAACTGGCTAGGAAGGGGTCCCCATTCCCAGCATTGCAGCAGGTGTCTCTGCAAGTAACTGTTTAACTTTTTGAGAACAAAAGCTATGACTTCAAAGATAAAGAAGCATAGGCAGGAAGAGCTTAAGTCGTTACTCTCAGCCTATACTCCAGAGCCAGTTGTTTTTTTAGCTCTCCAGAGGGAAGCACCTTGACAGTTTGGTACAAAGCTTTTCTGAGTTTTACATAGAGATTTGGTATTTTTTTCAACTAATTCATTGGACAGAAAGTCCTGCCGAGAATCTACTCCCATTCCTCAAAGAAATACCTCCATCACTGATTCTCAAATCTCTTCCCAGATTCTGACCCTTCCTCCAATTATTATTTTTTTTTTACATTTTTAAAATGATATATAACTCACATACCACAGAAAATTCACCATGTTTAAGTATAATTAGGGAAGCCTGGGTGGTTCAGTCAGTTAAGCATCTGCCTTTGCCTCAGGTCATGACCCCAGGGTCCTGGGATGGAGCCACACATCAGGCTCCCCGCTGAGCAGGGGAGCCTGCTTCTCCCTCTCCTGTTGCCCCTTCCCCCTGCTTGTGCTCTATCTCGCTCTCTCTCACATAAATAAATAAAATCTTAAAAAAAAAAACACTATAATTTAAATTCAGTGGTTTTTAGTATATTCACAAGGTTGTAAAGCCATCACCTTATCTAACTCCAGGACAATTTCATCACTCAAAAAAGACACTCCATTTGCTCTAACTGGTCCTCTCATTCTTCTTTCCACCCACTGGTGCCCAGAAACCTCGAATCTACTTTCTCTATGTAGTTGCCTGTTCAGGACATTACATATAAATGGAAACAGACGATATGTGACCTTTTGTGTCTGGTCCCTTACACTTAGCATAATGCTTTCAAAGTTCATCCACTTCATAGCATTCATCAATATTATATTCCTTTGTACATCTGAATAAATATTCCACTGTCTGGCTGTATCACTTTTAATGTTTCTCCACTCATCAGTTGGTGGACATTTGGGTTGTTTCTACATTTGGGCTATTGTGAATAATGCCGCTATGAACATTTGTTTATAAATTTTTGTATGAACACATGCTTTCAGAGCCTCTTGAATATATACCTAAGAACTGCTGGGTCATATAGTAACTCTATGTTTAACTTTTTGAGGACTGCCAAACTGTTTTCCGTAGAGGTTGTACCATTTTACAGCCCCGCAGCAACAGATGAGGGGTTCACATTTTCTGTATCTTTGCCAACACCTGTTACTTTTTTTTTTTTTTTTTTTTTTTACTACAGCCATTTTAGTGTGTGTGAAGTGGTATGTTATTGTGGTTTTATCTTGCATTTCCTTAACAACCAATAATGCTCAGCATCATCTCATGTGCTTATTGGCCATTTGTGTATCTTTGGAGAAGTGTTAATTCGAATCTTCTGACCATTTTTTTTAAGTGGGTCTTATCTTCCTATTGTTGAGTTTTAAAAGTCCTTTACATATTCTAGATATAAAATCCTTATTGGACATGATTTGTAAATATTTTCTCCCATTCTGTGGGTTGTCTTTTTGCTTTCTTAATAGTGTTCTCTGATACACAGAAATTGATCTTTGATCAACTAAATTTTGGTGGAGTCCAACTAATCTATTTTTTCTTTGGATTTTTCTGATTTTTTTTTTTTAGATTTTATTTATTTATTCATGAGAGACGCAGAGAGAGAGGCAGAGACACAGGCAGAGGGAGAAGCAGGGTCCTCGCAGGGAGCCCGATGCAGGACTTGATCCCCAGCATGCTCTGATGCTCAACCACTGAGCCACCCAGGCATCCCTAGATCCTTGTGCTTTTGGTATAATAGCTAAATTGTTGGGATACCTGGGTGGCTCAGTGGTTGAGTGTGTCTGCCTTCGGCTCAGGGCATGATCTCGGGGTCTGGGGTCAAGTCCCATATCCGGCTCCTTGAGGGGAGCCTCTTCTCCCTCTGCATGTGTCTCTGCCTCTGTGTCTCTCATGAATAAATAAAAAAATAAAAATAAAAAACTGTTGCCTAATCCCAAGTCACACATATTTCCAACTATATTTCCTTCTGAAAGTTTTATGTTTTTAGGTCTTACATTAAGCCCTTTTTGTCTATGGTGTAAGGCAGGGGTCCAAATTCATTCTTTTGTATGTGGCTATGCAGTTATTCCAGCATCATCTGGAAGGGATCAATCACTCTTTCACCAGTTGAATGGTCTTGGCACCCTTGTTGAAAATCAATTGACCATAAATGTAATGCTTATTTCTGGACTCTTAAACTTAGTCCACTCATCTATATGTCTATCCTTACGCCCCTACCACACTGTCTTTATTACTGTAGTAGTACTGACCATTTTTTTAAGTGGGTCTGATCTTTTTTTTTTTTTTTGGTCAGAAAATGACCAGTACTTTAATACCAGTAAAAAAATGACCAGTACTTTATTACTGTACTGTACATTAAAATTTGAAATTGAAAAGTATGGGTCCTCCAGCTTTGTTATTTTATTTATTTTTATTTTTTAGCTTTGTTCTTTTAAAAGACTCTTTAGCTATTCTGAATACTTTGCATTTTCATTTAAGTTTTAGGATCAAAGTGTCCATTTGTACAAAAATGACAGGTGGGAGTTTTGATAGGGATTGCACTGAATTAATAGATCAATTTGAAGTGTTAACTGTCTTAAAAAATATTTTATTTATTTATTCATGAGAGAGACACACAGAAGGCAGAGGGAGAAGCAGTCTCCCTGAAGGAAGCCTGATGTGGGACTGGATCCCAGGACCCCAGGATCACGACCTGAGCACAAGGCAGATGCTCAACCACTGAGCCACCCAGGTGCCCTGAAGTGTTGTTACTACTTTAATAAGTCTTCTAAACTATGAATATGGAACAGCTTTCCATTTATGTAGGTCTTTCTTTTAAAAATGTTTTTCAGTTTTTAGTGTATAAGTCTTGCTCTTCTTTGATTAAATTTCTTTTTTGATGCTATTGTAAATGGAATGGCTTTCTTAATTTCATTTTTAGATTGTTCATTGCTAACATGCAGAAATACAACTGATTTTCTCACATTGATCTTGTCTTCTGTAACCTTGCTGAATTTGAATTCACTTATTAGTTCTAATAGTTTGTTGTGGGTTTTTTGTAGATTCTTTAGGGATTTCTCTATATAAGATCATGTCATCACCAAATAGAAGTACTTTTACTCCTTTTCCAGGATAGATGATGACTTTTATTTCATTGTCTTACCTAATTGCTCCAACTAGTATTTTTAGAACAATGTTGAATAGAAGTGATGAAAACATCATTGTTGTCTCATTCCTGGTTTTAGGGTGGAAAGTTTTTGGTCTTTGATCACTAAATATGATGTTAGCTTTGTGTTTCTCTATAGATTATTCATACTCATTACCAAGTTAAAAGTTCCTTTCTATTCCTAATTTGTTGTGTTTTTATCACAAAAGTTATTGGATTTTATCAAATGCTTTTTCTCTAACTATTGAGGTTATCATGCAGTTTTTGTCTTCTCTTCTGTTAGGATAATGTCTTAAATAGATATTAGTATGTTGAGCCAATCTTGAATTCCTGGGAGAAATGTCACTTGGTTATGATGTATATAAAAAAAATCCTTTTTATGTGTTGCTGATTTGGTTTGCTAGTATTTTATGGAGGATTTTTTGCATCCATATTCATGAGGGATATTGATCTGTAGTTTTCTTGTGATGTTTTTGTCTGTTTTTGGCATTAGGATAACACTGGCCTTATAAAACGAGTTGGGAACGTTTTCTTCCTCTTGTATTTTTTGGGAAGAGTATTTGAAGAATTGGTATTAATTCTTCTTGAAGTATTTGATAGAATTCACCAGTGAAGTCATTTGGTCCTGGGGTTTTCTCTGTGGGACGTTTTTGATTGCTAGCTAAATCTCTTTACGTATAGACCTACTCAGATATTTTTCTCTTGAGTCAGTTTTGGTTGTTTGTATTTTATCAGGAATATATTTCATCTAGGTTTTCTAATTTGTTGGTATACTATGCTACATAGTATTCTCTTATGACCTCTTTTATTTCTGCAAAGTTGCTAGCAATGTCCCCACTTTGATTTCTTACTAGTAATTTGGGTGTTCTGCTCTTGTTCAATTTAGCTAAAGGTTTTTCATTTTTGTTAATCTTTTTTAAAAGCCAACTTTTGGTTTTGTTGATTCTCTATTGCTTTTCTATTCTCCACTTTACTTATTTCTGCTCTAGTATTTAATATTTTCCTCCTCCCACTAGCTTTGGGTGGGGTTTGCTTTTCTTTCTCTAGTTTCTTAAAGTGGAAGGCTAGATTATTGATTTGAGATCTTCCTTCTTTTATAATATCTGTGTGTTTTTTTCCACAGAAAGCTGAAAAATAATTTATTCCGATAGATGGCAGAAATAAGAAAGTCATCCTGAAAATACACTTTGGTGTAATTCTGTTGGGACAGATATTCCCTCTGAACATGCTCTCC